ACAAATAACGCTCTCTCTTTGTTTCTGGGGTCCGAAAACAATTATTTCAGTTTTGTCGGTGTTTAGTTGGAGAAAGTTATTTTGCATCCAATCACCGATTTGCTGGACACAGTGAAAGGAGCGAGTCCACTGGTTCATGCTCTCCTGCTGTCAGGGACACATAGACCTGAGTATCGTCAGCGTAATTGTGATAAGAGACATTATTACTGTGAATCAACTGACCTAGAGGCAACATGTAAATATTAAACAGAAGAGGACCCAGGATTGACCCCTGTGGCACTCCGCAGGTCAGGGCCAAGTGGTCTGAGGTACAGTTTTCGATCTCCACAAAAAACTTTCTGTCTTGTAAATAGGACCTAAACCAGCTTAGGGCGGTGCCAGCAACACCAACCCAGTCCTCAAGTCTCTGAATGAGGATGCCATGATCAATAGTGTCAAAAGCAGCACTTAAATCTAACAGAAAAAGGACTGAGACTTTTCCTGCGTCAGTGTTTAGTTTGATGTCATTTGTTACCTTTATTAGCGCGGTCTCAGTGCTGTGGTGGGGTCTAAACCCTGACTGGAACATATCATAAGCGTTATTGATTATTAAAAATTCTGTAAGTTGTTTATAGGCAACTTTTTCTAGAATTTTTCCCATGAAAGGCAGATTTGAAATGGGCCGATAATTTTTGAGTGCCAGGGCTTCCAGACTCCTCTTTTTTAGGAGGGGCCTGATGACCGCCGTTTTCAAGGCCATTGGGAATGTTCCAGATTCAAGAGACATATTAACTATTTGTGTAAGTGAAGGTAAAAGACTGCTCAGAACTGACTTGAGAAATCTAGGAGGTAATACATCCAGGCTGCATGTGGAGGAACTCAGACTAGTGATTATCTCCTGGACAGTTTCAATTTGTACTGGTGTAAAGTGCGTCAGCCCAAAAAGCCTCACTGGCGGTTGGATTATTATTAGACAATTAGACAATATTACAGACTACCAGAGGGGACACTGGAGCTGGCCAAAATCAGCAAAGTGTTGATGGCCATGGAGCAGGGAAGAGTGACGGAATTCGAAGGAAAGAGCCTCGACCAGATACAAATTGAGCCTGAAGGTAATTCTTGATATTATTAAAATATGTATGATTTTTTTCCCCTAAAGGCCACTTGTATTTTTATTTTCTGTGCGACAGGGAGAGCAGTAGAGATCCTCTCACAAACGGACGGGCTAAAAGAAACTTCAAGCGGAGAACCTTCAACCATTCATCCAGATGCACCCCATGGTAGTGGCAGTGCCCCTTCTGGTAAGTGTACCAGGTGGGGGATTACAGCCAGGCTGCTTGGTCCTAACCCTGGGAGTGTATATTGCTAATATATTTTTATTTCTCTCCCTAGAACGTTAGAGAAATCCATGGTCTGCATCTGAGGTGAAGGCTGTGGAGAAGGCAAGGCAAGTTTATTTGTTTAGCACAATTCATACACAAGGCAACTCAAAGTGCTGAACAAAACAAGAAAGCATTAAAATCATAAATAATCACAGAACATTGAAAAGAAAGATAAAAACATAAAATCCCTCAGTTGTAGCACAGCTAAACAGAACTGTCTTTAACCTGGTTTTAAACATTGTCAGAGAGGAGGCCTGTCTCACATCTTCAGGAAGATTGTTCCAGATTTTAGCAGCATGAATCTGAAAAGCAGCCTCCCCATGTTTAGTTCTGACTCTGGGCACTAACAGGAGTCCAGTCCCTGTGCTCCTCAGAGTCCCAGCAGGAGGCCAGTCCCTGTGCTCCTCAGAGTCCCAGCAGGAGTCCAGTCCCTGTGCTCCTCAGAGTCCCAGCAGGAGTCCAGTCCCTGTGCTCCTCAGAGTCCGGGCTGGTTCATATGGGACTAACATGTCACTAATATATTTTGGTGCGAGGCCATGGAGAGACTTGTAACAAGCAGAGCTGTTTTAAAGTCTATTCTCTGAGCCACAGGAAGCCAGTGCAGAGACCTGAGGACTGGACTAATGTGGTCGTACTTCCTGGTTCTAGTCAGGACTAATGTGGTAGGATTTCCTGGTTCTAGTCAGGACTAATGTGGTCGTACTTCCTGGTTCTAGTCAGGACTAATGTGGTCGTACTTCCTGGTTCTAGTCAGGACTAATGTGGTCGTACTTCCTGGTTCTAGTCAGGACTAATGTGGTCGTACTTCCTGGTTCTAGTCAGGACTAATGTGGTCGTACTTCCTGGTTCTAGTCAGGACTAATGTGGTCGTACTTCCTGGTTCTAGTCAGGACTCGAGCTGCTGCATTTTGAATGTACTGCAGCTGTTTTACAGCCTGTTTGGACAGACCTGTGAGCAGGCCATTGCAGTAGTCTAACCTACTGGAGACAAATGCATGGATAAGAATCTCCAGGTCTGCTTTAGACACTATGTTTTTGATCCTGGAAATGTTTTTTAGATGGTAAAAAGCTGCGTATGTTACTGATTTGATGTGGCTATTAAAATTTAAGTCTGAGTCCAGTATTACCCCTAGATTTCTGACCTTGTTTGAAGGTTTTAGGGAGAGAGACTGTAGGTGACAGATGACGCTCTCTCTTTGTTTCTGGGGACCAAAGACAATCATTTCAGTTTTGTCTGCGTTTAGCTGAAGGAAGTTGTTTTGCATCCACTCACTGATCTGTTGGATACAGTGAAGGAGTGAGTCCACTGGTCCATGTTCTCCTGCAGTCAGTGAGACATAGATCTGAGTGTCGTCTGCATAGTTATGATAGGACACTTTGTTTCTGCGTATTAACTGACCTAACGGCAGCATGTAGAGATTGAACAGAAGAGGTCCCAGGATCGACCCCTGTGGGACTCCACAGGTCAGGGCCATATGATCTGAGACACAGTTTCCAATCTCCACAAAGTACTTCCTGTCTTCAAGGTAAGACCTAAACCAACTTAGGGCGGTGCCAGCGACGCCAACCCAGTCCTCTAGTCTCTGTAAGAGGATCTCATGGTCGACAGTGTCAAAGGCAGCACTTAGATCTAACAGGATTAGGATTGAGACTTTGCCTGCGTCAGTGTTCAGCCGGATATTGTTTGTAACCTTGACAAGAGCAGTCTCAGTGCTGTGGTGGGGTCTAAAGCCGGACCAGAACTTTCAAAACACTAGAGGTGACAGAGTTAAACAGTTCATCTACAGTAGAACACGATGCATTCTCAAAGTTTATCATTCCCATAAATAGTTCACTCGTATTTTCATTTATGTGTCTTCTTCGAACAGTTGCAGAGTCCACTGGTGGTTTGTTAGTGAAACACATGTCAAAAAAAACACAGAAATGATCCGAAAGAGCAACATCGACCACGTTTACATTAGAAATATTCACCCCCTTTTTAACTAACAGGTCTAGAGTGTGCCCTCTGCTGTGGGTGGGGCCACTCACGTGCTGAGTGAGACCAAAGGATTCAAGTAAAGAACTCAGCTCTTTTGCATTTCTGTCATTAACATTATCCACATGAATATTAAAATCACCTGTAATAACCTGGGGCGACAGTAGCTCAGTTGGTAGAGCATTGGCCTTAAGGCCAGAAGGTCGTGGGTTCAATTCCCTCCTCTGCACCTTCTACATCAACTCCCACTGATGACTGCTGTCGTTGTGTCCTTGGGCAAGACACTTAACCCCACTTTGCCCAAAGCCCCCACTGAAAGATCAAGGCTATGCTCACACTCAGAGAGCAGCCGTCCTCCTGTGGACTCACCACCTGCAGAGGGTCAGTGAGGGGCTGGTGCATCTCTGACTGCCACCCCCCTGACCCAGAAATGGATTAAAGGGTAGAAAATGGATGGATGGACCTGTAATAACCAAACTATCAAAATCTGTGCATATAACTGAAAGCAACTCTGTAAAAAAGAGTATTGAAGGAGATTGTTTTTGTTGTATTTTAAAAGACACATATTCAAAAGACGGAAACTTCCCAAGAGACATTCTATGGGAGACAAAGTGGTCTCTAAAAATGGCAGCTAAGCCTCCTCCTTTTTTGTTTTCCCGTATTTCAGATTTAAATTTGAAATTTGGTGGTGATGCTTCTATTAAAACTGCATTTCCTGAATTTTGGTCAAGCCAAGTTTCAGCCATGAACATAAGATCAAGATTATAAGAACAAATAAAATTATTGATTAAAAAAGACTTGTTACAAAGAGATCTGACATTTAGCATAGCAAGTTTCAAAGTTTCAGGATCAGCGGTTGTGGTCGGCTGATTCTTACACGGAACAAGAATTAGATTTTCCTGATTAGACTGATTAACTTCAGATGTTTTTCTGTAATGTATTCTTTGTGTTATCACTAAAGGAATGGCACAGGTGGCTTCATGACAGGGCCCCAGCCGGGTCTCTCCTCTAACTAGACTGCCAGTGGCTGCGAAGCAGAGACCCTGTGCATCCTAGTGTTTAGAGAAAAGAGGGGAAGGGGAAGGCGGGGGAAGAGGATGGAGAGGCGGGTGGCTTTTGGGTGTTGAACGAGGGGGAAGTGGGGGTGGAATGGTCATGAGGTTAGGGGAGGGACTGGCTGAGGTGGTTTTTGTAGGTGAATTGGAAACCCTAGGTGGTTTTGGAGGTACATATGGGGAGTGGTTTAGAATGTTGGACAGGACTCTAGATCTAGCTAATATGGGTGTGAGAGGAATAGTCTTCATCGCCGATTTTATTAGCCCTGCAGAGTGTTCAGGTAGGTCTAACAGTGAAGGCGGGGATGAAAAACAAAGGGACGTGTCCCCATTCTCTCTTGATGGAGTGGACGTGGCAGGGGGGACCCAAGACAGGTCCATGGGAGGTGGCGAGGGAGCCTTTGATGGAGGGGCAGGTGGTTGAGGAAACCCCAGCACAGGCCTGTCTGCTGTAGGCTGGAAGACCATGATGCCTTTCATACAGACTGGAAAAGTCCCTGGAAAGTCTCACTGCCTGGCCTGGCTATGGGTCCCATATGGAACGGCCCTGTCTTAGGGACCCACCAGGTAACAAAAACGTGTATGTGTGTGTCTCTGTGTGTGACTCACGCTCGCATTGGGGGGCGGGGGTCCACTGAGCGGCCAGGCCCATCTTGAGGCACAGGATCGGTCTCCCATCCAGCTTCCTGAACCCGGCGTCACAGCTGTACCGCAGCACGTCCTTCTCTCGGTACACAGCCTTCTGGTTATTCACCTGGAAGTTCTCCAGCGGCGGGACCGGGCACGAGATCTCTGTAGGACACAGGAGTCTAGTCCTGGGTCTACAGCCTCAGTCCTGGTCTACAGTCTCAGTTTTGGTCTACAGCATCAGTCCTGGGTCTACAGCCTCAGTCCTGGTCTACAGCCTCAGTCCTGGTCTACTGTCTCAGTCCTGGTCTACAGCCTCAGTCCTGGGTCTACTGTCTCAGTCCTGGTCTACAGCCTCAGTCCTGGGTCTACTGTCTCAGTCCTGGTCTACAGCCTCAGTCCTGGGTCTACTGTCTCAGTCCTGGTCTACAGCCTCAGTCCTGGGTCTACTGTCTCAGTCCTGGTCTACAGCCTCAGTCCTGGTCTACAGCCTCAGTCCTGGGTCTACTGTCTCAGTCCTGGTCACCTTTGCAGATGGGGGGGGCGTGGGTCCAGGTCCCGGTCTCGTCGCACTCGATCTGTGCGGCTCCGACCAGTTGGTCTCCTCGGTCTCTGCAGCTGAACCGCACCACGCTCCCGGCGACCGCTTGCTCTACGTCCCCGTCCACCGAGACTTTAGGGTCCACCGCCAAGACCGGGCACTGCAGCGCTACACAACACAACAGTCACACAACAGCAGCGCTACACAACACAACAGTCACACACAGTCACACAACAGCAGCGCTACACAACACAACAGTCACACACAGTCACACAACAGTAACGCTAAAACGCTCTCTGGTCTCTCTCTCTCTCTGGTCTCTCTCTCTCTCTGGTCTCTCTCTCTCTCTGGTCTCTCTCTCTCTGGTCTCTCTCTCTCTCTCTCTGGTCTCTCTCTCTCTCTGGTCTCTCTCTCTCTCTGGTCTCTCTCTCTGGTCTCTCTCTCTCTGGTCTCTCACCTTCGCACACTGGTAGATGGCCGTCCCAGCCGCCCTGCATACAGTTACGGGTGCTGGTGAGACTGGTCATCTGGTACCTGCAACACACAAGGCAGAAAACTGCTAAGTGTGATCTAATAGTGACGTCATAGTTATGTCGCAGTGACATTGCAGTGACGTCACAGTGACATCACAGTGACATCACAGTGACATCACAGTGACGTCACAGTGACAGTAACATCTTACCCGCGGTGGCAGCTGTATTGCACCTGTGATCCAAACACAAAGTCGTCGCCTCGGACCAGAGAGAAGTCTGCGAACATTACGTCTCCAGGATGACCACAGGAAATAGCTGCAAAACAGGAAGTGAGGAACAGGAAATGACTCCCCCACACTCACCCACACTCACCCACACACACCCACACTCACCCACACACACCCACACTCACCCACACACACTCACCCACACTCACCCACACTCACCCACACACACCCCCACACACCCACACACACCCACACTCACCCACACCCACCCACACTCACCCACACTCACCCACACTCACCCACACACCCACACACACCCACACTCACCCACACCCACCCACACTCACCCACACTCACCCACACACACCCAGACACACACCCACACTCACCCACACCCACCCACACTCACCCACACTCACACACACTCACCCACACACACCCAGACACACACCCACACTCACCCACACCCACCCACACTCACCCACACTCACCCACACACACCCACACTCACCCACACCCACCCACACTCACCCACACTCACACACACTCACCCACACACACCCACACTCACCCACACCCACCCACACTCACCCACACTCACACACACTCACCCACACACACCCACACACACACCCACACACACCCACACTCACCCACACCCACCCACACTCACCCACACTCACCCACACTCACACACCCACACACACCCACACTCACCCACACCCACCCACACACACCCACACTCACACACACTCACACACACTCACCCACACTCACCCACACCCACCCACACTCACCCACACTCACCCACACTCACCCACACTCACCCACACACCCACACTCACCCACACACTCACCCACACACACCCACACTCACCCACACACACCCACACACACCCACACTCACCCACACTCACCCACACTCACCCACACACTCACCCACACTCACCCACACACACCCACACTCACCCACACTCAACCACTCCCCCCCTTCCCCCCACACTCACCACTGCAGCGGTCTCCCACGTGTTTCCAAGTCCCGTCCTGACAGGTGAGTTTGAAGAATCCTCTGAATCCCAGTTTGCAGTGAACCCTGAGGCTGAGGCCGCTGCTGTAGCTGTCACTCAAACCCTGCATCTCGAAGTTGGAGTCAAAGAAAGAGCCCGCTTTAAAGTCCTGCAGGCTGCAGTCTGTAAGAAACACAGGTGTCAGCTGTCTGCAGTCTGTAAGAAACACAGGTGTCAGCTGTCTGCAGTCTGTAAGAAACACAGGTGTCAGCTGTCTGCAGTCTGTAAGAAACACAGGCGTCAGCTGTCTGCAGTCTGTAAGAAACACAGGCGTCAGCTGTCTGCAGTCTGTAAGAAACACAGGCGTCAGCTGTCTGCAGTCAGTAAGAAACACAGGCGTCTGCGTGTGTGTGTGTGTGTGTAAGTAAGTAAGTAAGTAATCTTCATTTATATACCGCCTTTCACAGACCAGAGTCACAAAGCGGTTTACAATTGTTATTCTTGGGCACTTGTCCTCTCACTCCACACAGAGATGGGAGGGGCCAGTACAGGGGGCACAGACATATTGTACATGTTTTTAGTGGTAGGGGAAACCGGAGTGCCCGGAGGAAACCGGAGTGCCCGGAGGAAACCGGAGTGCCCGGAGGAAACCGGAGTGCCCGGAGGAAACCTACGCAGACACAGGGAGAACATGCAAACTCCACTCAGAAAGGCCCGGGTCCCACCGGGATTCGAACCCACACACAACCCTCTTGCTGAGAGGCGAGAGTGCCGCCCCTGTGTGTGCGTGCGTGTGTGTGAGAGTGTGTGTGTGTGTCTGTGTGTGTGTGTTTGTGTGTATAATTGTTTTGTGTTTATGTTAGTATAATTATTGTCATGTATTTTTGTTGATGCACTTTGTTTGACTCTAGGAAGAAGAGCTGTGTTGAAACCCTGATGGAGATCAACATTACCAAAGGGACAGAGACCAAAAGAAAAGAGACCAAAGGGACAGAGACCAAAGGGACACGTCTGTTATTAACCAAAGTCAGATGTATTTAGAACATGAAAGGACTGAGCTCCAGAGAAGGTTCTAACTGGTCTCTCTCTGGTCTCTCTCTGGTCTCTCTCTGGTCTCTCTCTCTGGTCTCTCTCTGGTCATCCACTATCACATATTCAGAAAATAAAGAACAATGGCCGTGCAGTCACACAGAGACACCGCTGAATCCTCTGTCCCCCTACAGATAGTAAGCCTTACCCCTGTCCCCCTACAGATAGTAAGCCTTACCTCTGTCCCCCTACAGATAGTAAGCCTTACCTCTGTCCCCCTACAGATAATAAGCCTTACCTCTGTCCCCCTACAGATAGTAAGTCTTACCCCTGTCCCCCTACAGATAATAAGCCTTACCCCTGTCCCCCTACAGATAGTAAGTCTTACCCCTGTCCCCCTACAGATAATAAGCCTTACCCCTGTCCCCCTACAGATAGTAAGTCTTACCCGTGTCCCCCTACAGATAGTAAGCCTTACCTCTGTCCCCCTACAGATAATAAGCCTTACCCCTGTCCCCCTACAGATAGTAAGCCTTACCTCTGTCTCCGTGCACACCGGGCAGCAGGACCTGCAGCAGGGGCAGCAGCAGGGGCAGCAGCAGGGGGTTTCTCTGCTGTTTCACTGATGACATGTTGAGTCTGACTCTCACATGAATGAGTGAACAGGACTCAGCGACAGCGATTACTCAACGTTTGGCAAAAGTCCAGCCGTCGACCGGGCGCAGAGCGGGAAATTAAACCACGATTCAGCAGAAATCACTCTGCCTCAGCAGTGAGAGAGACCCTGTGTGCAGTGAGAGAGACCTTGTGTGTGCAGTGAGCGAGACCCGGTGTGTGCAATGAGAGAGACCCTGTGTGCAGTGAGAGAGACCCAGTGTGTGCAGTGAGAAAGAGCAGTGAGAGAGACCCGGTGTGTTCAGTGAGAGAGTTAAAGCTTCTGTTCCAGTAAAGCTGTGTTTGTGTGATCATTGGTCACGATCAATTCAGCAAATAAACCTGTCTGTGTGTGTGTGTGTGTGTGTGTGTGTGTGTGTGTGTGTGTCTGTGTGTGTCTGTGTGTGTCTGTCTATGTGTGTGTCTGTGTGTGTCTGTGTGTCTGGTGTGTGTGTGTGTGTGTGTGTCTGTGTGTGTGTCTGTGTGTGTCTGTCTGTGTGTGTGTCTGTGTCTATGTGTCTGTCTGTGTGTGTGTGTCTGTGTGTGTGTGTGTCTGTGTGTGTGTATGTGTGTGTGTCTGTGTGTGTGCGTGTGTGAGCTAACCCTAAGACCTCTGACCCTGAGACCCCTGACCTCTGACCCTGAGACCCCTGACCCTGAGACCTCTGACCCTGAGACCCCTGACCCTGAGACCCCTGACCCTGAGACCCCTGAGACCTCTGACCCCTGACCTCTGACCCTGAGACCCCTGACCCGTGACCTCTGACCCTCTGACCCTGAGACCCCTGACCATTTCTGGTCCAATCCCGTCTATAAAGCGAGGCGCTTCTATAGTCGTGTTGCAACGCTACATCTGTGGATCCAGTCAATATGGTGTAGCATACCGCCCTGATGGACCACCCTGATGGACCACCCTGATGGACCGCCCTGATGGACCACCCTGATGGACCGCCCTGATGGACCGCCCTGATGGACCGCCCTGATGGACCGCCCTGATGGACCGCCCTGATGGACCGCCCTGATGGACCGCCCTGAGCGCCCTGATGGACACCCCCTGATGGACCGCCCTGATGGACCGCCCTGATGGACCGCCCTGATGGACCGCCCTGATGGACCGCCCTGATGGACCGCCCTGATGGTCCCCCCTGATGGTCCGCCCTGATGGACCGCCCTGATGGACCACCCTGATGGACCGCCCTGATGGACCGCCCTGATGGACCGCCCCTGATAGACCGCCCTGATGGACCGCCCTGATGGACCGCCCTGATGGACCGCCCTGATGGTCCGCCCTGATGGACCGCCCTGATGGACCGCCCTGATGGACCGCCCTGATGGTCCGCCCTGATGGTCCGCCCTGATGGACCGCCCTGATGGACCGCCCTGATGGACCGCCCTGATGGACCGCCCTGATGGTCCGCCCTGATGGACCGCCCTGATGGCCCTGATGGACCACCCTGATGGACCGCCCTGATGGACCGCCCTGATGGACCGCCCTGATGGACCGCCCTGATGGACCGCCCTGATGGTCCGCCCTGATGGACCGCCCTGATGGACCGCCCTGATGGACCGCCCTGATGGACCGCCCTGATGGACCGCCCTGATGGACCGCCCTGATGGACCGCCCTGATGGTCCTTTATGTAAAATACTTTGTTTTTAAGAGAAGTATGGCTCGATAAAAAGAATCCTAATACTGTTTTAATAGAATCAGCCCCGAATTTTACATTTGAATTTGAGGCACGAGACAATCGTAACGGTGGAGGCGTGTGTGCTCTTTATAAACACATGCTACGTACCAACAAACCTTCACTTGGAGCCTTTTCTTTCTTTGAGTACGTTTCCCTTCAAATGGAACAGACCCCCCCAGCACTGCCCACATTTAATGGATGATTTCACTGAGATTGCGTAGATCTCGATGCCATTGTCATTACAGGTGATTTTAATATCCATATGGATGTTGTTGGTAAAAGATACCAAAGAGCTCAACTCTTTATTAGAAACCTTCGGTCCAATTCAGCATGTGTGTGATCCCACTCACAGCAAAGGACACCTCTGAGAGCTTTTAATCACAAAAGGGGTTCATGTGTCAAATGTGCGCGTTGTTGATATATGTCTGTCCCATCACTTCTGTGTTTTCTTTGACCTGTCTTTTTTGCCTAAGCCACCAGAAGGTCCCGCTGTAGTTCGGAGAAGACATATAAATGAAAGCACTGGTCCACGGTTCATAGAAATGTTACATCTTGATAATATTGGGTGTTCCAATGTTTATAATTTGTTTAACAAGAGTGTTTTATCTGTGTTCGATACCATTGCTCCTGTGACGACTAAGTTGGTTACCAGCAAACCAAAAGCACCATGGAGGAATGAAATGACTGTTAGGGAACAAAAAAGACAGTGCCGGAGGGCTGAGCGCAGGAGGCGCAAGTCCAAGCTCCAAGATCACCACGAGATCTATAAGACAAAACTAAAATGCTACAATGACTTGTTATGTAGCACGAGGGAAAGGCATTTTTCTGAAATTATAGCCAGTAATGTCACTAACTCTCGTGTCCCGTTTGCAACACTAAATAGATTAACAAAGCCACTAGGGTTTAACCCTCTATGCACATGGGTCATTTTGGGGAACTTTCCTCGCCTGGTTTTCTTTGTGTATAATTGTTCATAAAACAGTCATCTTTTGATGCAGAGTCAAGCAGTATACTTTGTTTTTTTCAGTACAACCTGGGGTTTTAGAATATTCATATTGTAAAGCTGTCATATGAATTATATAAAACTTATGGAGTCATGAAGACAAAGAAAAAAATCAAACGGAAAATCAATTTAACAAAAATGTATTGAAAAAACACAATGAAATGCTATAAACAACTTTTTACACTGCATAGAAATGTTATTTAGGGACTTGGGGATAATGGGGAAAAAAATGAATCTCTAAGTATTATACTTTTTACAAAATTCCACTATAAAAGCAAAAAACTCTACTCCTGATGCCCTTCCTGAAGCAGTTTGTCTATAATGCTGGTGTTGCTTCTGTAGCACAGCTGTAAAAAACGTAAAACATAAGAAACTAAGAAAAAAAAACAAAAAAATACATCTAATACATATATTTATATACATCATATACACATAATGTCATTTTACTGTATTTATTATCGTTTTTATCAATAATGCGCACTCTTCAGCCGGTTATTGCAATCGCAGCTGTAGTTTCAACTGTGGGAGAACAAGTACGCGCAGAGGAGTGAGACATCTCACTCTCTGACGATCTTTGGCAGTCCCCGTGTGTTTGTATCTCACAGCTGTTTGTACCTCACGGGTCATGCTTTGGACACGGACTTTCAGACAAACATAATTTATCCTCCGTGCGTCGCACAGACAAATCAATTCGGAAAGCCCTGAATATTTACTTCACAGAGGAATAAATAGTAAGTTGCTACGTTTTACCGTTTGCGAGTAAATTGATCAGTTGTAAAACATGTGCGCAGGTATCGTCGACGATACAGATGGGTTCATACAGCTGCTAAGTCCAACGAGTTTGCTTATTTTTTCAATGAAAAGGTACAGAGCATAAAAAACACATTCACGCCTGTCCCACAAACAGAAATCTTAAATCCAACTGGAGAGTGTGATTTCCCTAATTTCCTTACTGTCAACAACAATACAGTCCAGAATATAGTTTCTAGCATTAGCACGTCAACTTGTAGCCTTGATAATTTGCCCACTAGGTTTTTTAAGTTAGTGGTAGGCAGCTTTCTCTCATTCCTCACCGAAATAATAAATTTATCCCTTCAATCAGGAACTTTCCCTGCGGCTCTTAAAGTGGCAGTCATCAGGCCTCTTCTAAAGAAAAGAGTCTTGATGCCACAGTACTGCAAAATTATTGACCAATTTCAAATCTGCCATTTGTGGGAAAGATGCTTGAAAAAGCTGTTCATCAACAACTCATGGATTTTTTGTTAGTCAACAACATATTCAATGTACATCAGTCTGGATTTAGACCGTCCCATAGCACTGAGACTGCACTAACAAAGGTGACTCATGGTATTCGACTGAACACTGATGCTGGGAACACTTCAGTGTTAGTTCTATTAGATTTGATACGGTTGATCATGAAATCCTCTTGGAGAGACTGGAAAAGTGGGTGGGTATATCTGGTACTGCCCTTGATTGGTGTAGGTCCTATCTCCAGGACAGACTATATGTTGTAGAAATAGGAGATTGTGCTTCAGATCATATGGCACTGACATGTGGAGTCCCCCAAGGGTCAATCCTGGGGCCTCTCCTATTTATCACACACACACACACACACACACACACAAACACACAAACACACAAACACACAAACACACACACACACACACACACACACACACACACACACTGCTTTTAAAGGTTACGCACATAACTACGGTTCTATGAATCCCAAACACCAGCGCAGCTTCCTGTCACTCAGAACCCTTTTGGTCTCGTGAGAAGGTTCTGCAGGAGTTTTGGATCAATGAGGATTATACAGCCTCCTATGGTCATCTGGTAGTCACAGGTGTGACACATGGTATTATTATTCAAACTCTGCATGCGCTCAAGGGATCATTCAGTGCTATGCACCGCCCTCTGGTGGTCAGGAGGGAGGAAATAAAACCACAGATTTAAGTACAAAATGGGAACTGAACAAGTTTACTTTTTGGATGTTTTAGTCCGAGTCCCAGTTCAAGCCTCAGCCCGAGTCCCAGCTCGAGTCCCAGTCCCAATCTCAGTCCCAATCTCAGTCCGAGTCTCAGTCCGAGTCTCAGTCCGGGTCTCAGTCCGAGTCTCAGTACGAGTCTCAGTCCGAGTCCCAGTCCGAGTCTCAGCCCTAGTCCCAGTCTCAGTCTCAGTCCCAGAGGAGGACCACCTACCAACACAGTCCTGGGTGGTCCAGCGGCCGCCCTCACACCTGGCCACGCCCCACCAGGCCTGGGACAGCAGCTTGAAGCCCGAGGAGCAGGTGTAGAACAGGTTCTTCTGACGCTCCAATGAGAATCCGTTGTGGATCTGGGCGTCTCCGCAGGTGCTGGGTTCTGCACACGGTGGTTACACATGTTTCTATCACAGCAACAGTGTGCGTGCGTGTGTGCGTGCATGGACTCTGTGTGTGTGGGGACTCTGTGTGTGTGGGGACTCTGTGTGTGTGGGGACTCTGTGTGTGTGTGTGTGGGCCCGAGCCCACAGCTTTAGGACTGGTCCCAAAGTCCAGTGTTTTATCACACAAACAACAGTTTCTCATTTACTGGAACTGAGAGGGGGCGAAGCCACAGTCTGTAGCCTCTACACACACACAGATCCAGAAACACACACACACAAAAACACAGAGTGCTTACAACGGTTACGCACATAACTACGGTTCTATGAATCCCAAACACCGCCACAGCCTCCTGTCACTCAGAACCCTTTCGGTCTCGTGAGAAGGTTCTGCAGGAGTATCTGATGATGGAGGATTATACAGCCTCCTATTGTCATCTGGTAGTCACAGGTTCGCTGGTCCCTGCTGTCCCGCTGACCCCCGGGACCAGGCCGCAGTCTCCACCAGCGGCTCGCCAAACCGCGGATCACCACCGGGCAGCCGCAGGGGAGATGTTCTCTCTCAAAATGACATATTCTCTCAATACTAAATGCACTATGAAATTCGATGGAAAAAAGACGCATTATTTTTCCACCAGAAATGGAATTTTAACTGAACCTGAGTTCATCTATTTGAATATTTTTGTCAAAGAATTTCAGTCACTAATTATCACTTTCATAATGTTTTTCATTTCAAAATGTTTTTCATTTCAAAATGTTTTTTGTCTGATGCTTCAAACTTCCCGCTCGGAAAAATGGGAATGTAGTGCAGTGGGAACACTGCTTAACTCGGGCTGAGCTATACCACTTCTAGCCGGTGGGGGTGGACCCGGATTTAGAATTACCCAATGCTTTTGTATGGCGTCTTCTTTTAGAATGATCTCAGATCCCCCAGGGTCAAGCACTGGTGGTGGCTAGAAGCATGGTGTGAATGGGGCGCAGGAGCCAGAGCAGGAGCCAGAGCAGGAGCCAGAGCAGGAGCCAGAGCAGGAGCTTGAGGAGGTGCTGGGGAGGCGGTGGGTTGCAAGGGCTTCAAAGCGCTGGTTGATAGGAAGTGGCAGCTTTTAAACTGCCGGCTTTGCTGTCAGTGGTTGGCAGGGGGGCTGGCCGAGCTGTGTGATTGGCTGATGCTCGAGGCTGGCCGAGCTGTGTGATTGGCTGAGGCTCGAGGCTGGCCGAGCTGTATGATTGGCTGAGGCTCGAGGCTGGCCGAGCTGTGTGATTCATCCAGGTTTATTCTACAGTCTGACAGTCGAAGGAACAAAGGATCTATTAAGTCTAGTATTAAGACTGAAAAACCTGCACTACTATTGACACTGTTTCTGATTGCCACTCTTTGAATTGACACTTTTCATTGTACATAATATATCCTGCATTTAACATGTTTGCACATTTCCTTTCTTTTTGGACAATCTTGAGTGTTTCTATCCATGCCAAATGTGACATGTAAATTTCTCCATCAGAGATCAATAAAGCATATCTTATCTTATCTCTTGAAATGTTCCGTTCGGCAGCGCAGTGATAGGAGCTGAAGAAGATGACAAAGTCTGGGATCGTGTCTTTAATTCAGACAGAAGACATGTTTTATTGTTGATGGTAGACGCACGAACAAAAACACGACAGAATGCAGGTGTATTATACAGCATGGAGGAATGCAGTCCTCCAATCAGCAGCTGCCACAGTGTGCTTGTAGTTTCAACCTTGAGATAACCAAAACAAGTAGTGGAAAAGTACAGGCTTCTGCACATTGGTAGAATGATGAGTTTAACTTTAACAAAAGTTGCTTCAAAGTGTCATGGAATCCCTACAGAGCCTGTTGCTACGATTACTCGCACATCAAAGGACCTCAGTCTTTTCAGGAAAAAGAGTCTACTCTGACCATTCCTTTTACTTTTTTCTAAAAACTGTCATAAACAAAAGCATTAGTTTGATCAGTTTCTCAGTGAAATGAAGATGTGTAAAACATGTCTGTGGAACAAGACAAAGTCGACTGCTTCCTCTGGTGGCAGCACAAGGAATTACATCACAGTTGGTTCGACATATAAGAATAAGATAAGATTTATTTATCTCACAAAGGAGAAATTTACATGTGTACCACATTTATATGGGATGTGTGCAATAATCTGATATACAGGTATGCAGTAACGGGATGGGTGCAATAATCTGATATACTGTATGCAGTAACGGGATGTGTGCAATAATCTGATATACTGTATGCAGTAACGGGATGTGTGCAATAATCTGATATACTGTATGCAGTAACGGGATGTGTGCAATAATCTGATATACTGTATGCAGTAACGGGATGTGTGCAATAATTGTTTGTGTGCAATGATGTTGGACTCTAACATTGAGGACTTTGGTGGACTACTGAAGTGTGGCCTGTAGCAGAATGCAAGCTGGTTTTTTGTTTATTGTTTTCCTGTTTTGTTTCTGTTAAATGTTTCTGTATTTGATCCGTGTGACCCTGGCCCGATGGGACACAGATGGAAATTAGCCTTTGGCTATAATCTGGCGTGTTTGCATTCATGTTTTTAATGTGTCTGTTCATTGACATGCACTGTCCCATTCAAATAAATAAATAAATAAATAAAATAAACATATGTTTTTATCTGAAGATATTTCACTTTCAAACACATGAAATGACAAAGTGGTCTCATGGCATGTTCGATAATAATGCATTATTGGTCAGTATTAACGGTCATCTGCGTCGCGTTGCCATGGGAAACCGCTGTATTCGGTTGTCATGGAAACGGAACCGCGAATTTAGAGACACGTCCCTCGTTTCTGGGTCTTTTTTGGCGACATGGAAACGTGTCAAACCCCCGCAGAAGGCAGCGCACACACGGTGACAGTGCGGGTGACAAGAGGGAACCGACTGGTGCGGAACCACACTCAAATACACCTCTTTGCTAACCGCTAACATTAGCAGCTAACGTTAGCGGTTAGCTAGCTAAGGCTAACTGTTGAGTTCGTGTTATCATCATCTTCAGGTTTCTGCTCCAGGGAACATTTAGAACACATTAACATAATATTACAACACTGTCACTTTTGAATTCCAGAGCAATTTACATACACAAATGAATAATAATATCAATAACAAACAATATTAACAATTATTACAAATTATTATTTACATTTTAAAAGTGTAGAATGTTCCATGGCCTTTTATTTTTTATTTTTACTGAGCGTTTAATAACATTTGACAAACCTTTACACCAAGTAAATAGTGTGAGTATATTAAATCTGTTGTAAAATTGTGAAAAAATGACTCATATTGGTATGGGATAACGAGCTATTAATGTGAGAAAACTTAAAGCTGGGGCACCTAACCTTGAAACCACACACATTAACTATGTAATAAAATCTAACTAGCTCCTAACTCTGAAAACAGTTTGGTTCTATCACTAGAAATCACATTCATGTTTGGCCTCCGTTACAGCTTCGTCAGGGAAACAGAGAGAACCAGCCCTCACTCAGCCAATCAGCTAGCCAGCCAAAACATATTTTCTTATAAGATGGAAACAGCCGTTTGTGGTCTGATTTGTTAACAACATGTTACCTAAAGGTATATGTTGTCCCCACAAAAACGAGACGATACATGGGGTTTATCCTCCAATAAAATGTCCATAAATATGAGGCTTTTCCCAAATTTTTGGAAAAAACCGCCCTCTCCAGCCAGGACCGACCTTCTGACCAGAACCAGCCAGGACCGACCTTCTGACCAGAACCAGCCAGGACCTACCTTCTGACCAGAACCAGCCAGGACCAACCATGGATCTATTATAATAACTGGATAGGGTATTACTAGCTTGTAGCTGAATAACTCATGTGCTCGGGGGATTCTCGCGGTACTGCAGACTAGACCAGACTAAATTCACGTGGGCTACCCAGGAATGTTCCCCATAGAACTCAATGCATATTAAAACAGCTCAACCTCAGCTGACAGAGAACCTGACAGAGAACCTGACAGAGAACCTGAGAGAGAACCTACAGCTTTAATAAAGATCGGATTTTGTGGGGATTTTAGTGTCCCTTGTCATCCTGAACTTTTTTTCTTCTTAAATCCTTTGGTTTTCTTTAAATCTACACTTTGGTGCCACAAACTCTGCTCGTCTGGCTCTCGCTCTAACTCTCGCTCTGATGAACTGCTCTGATTGGTCAGAGCGCGGCCGAGCCCCTCTGTGCACGTGCGTGAGACCGGTGTGAGACCCTCACACGCGTGTTTGACGCAATGCATTATGGGAGATCATCCACTGCACAGAACCGGGAGGACCAGACGATGCCCAAATACAGGCGAGTTTCCCATAGATCTTTGCGAGTTTCCCATAGACCTTTGAGAGTTTCAGGCGACTTCCGCTAATCTTTCAGCCCCCATGCCGTCACAAAGCGCCACTGAGCACAACCATTCATTTGAATAGGGTCAGAAGGCTTGGGACCAACCTTCTGACCAGAGGAGAACCAGCCAGGACCTACCTTCTGACCAGAACCAGCCAGGACCAACCTTCTGACCAGAACCAGCCAGGACCAACCCCCTGACCAGAGGAGAACCGACCAGGATTCTGTCATCGTTCGCCCACAGTGCCCCCTTCAGGAGTGTAACCATTAGGTGTTGTATTGTGTTTCCAGAAAGGCAGCAGAGCAGAGTTCCTTAGTTTTGTGAAGGTGGAGGTGGACGGGGTGGTGTTGGGAGAGTCGGAGAAGAAACCTCGCAACCCGTCTGAAAACTGCCATCAGTACGACTTCAGCTGCAGCTTCTCCTGCCCCAGAGAGGCCCAGGCCATCGCGCAGCTGGCCTCCACGCTCATCATCGGTAACCATGGAAACCACACACTCATCATCGCTAACAACACTCATCATCGGTAACCATGGAAACCACACACTCATCATTGCTAACAACACGCTCATCATCGGTAACAACACGCTCATCATCGGTAACCATGGAAACCACACACTCATCATCGCAAACAACACTCATCATCGGTAACCATGGAAACCACACACTCATCATTGCTAACAACACGCTCATCATCGGTAACCATGGAAACCACACACTCATCATCGCTAACAACACGTTCATCATCGGTAACCATGGAAACCACACATGCATCATCGCTAATAACACTCATCATCGGTAACCATGGAAACCACATACTCATCATTGCTAACAACACACTCATCATCGGTAACCATGGAAACCACACAATCATTATCGCTAACAACACACGCATCATCGGTAACCATGGAAACCACACACGCATCATTGCTAACGATACACTCATCATCGGTAACCATGGAAACCACACACTCATCATCGCAAACAACACTCATCATCGGTAACCATGGAAACCACACACTCATCATTGCTAACAACACGCTCATCATCGGTAACCATGGAAACCACACACTCATCATCGCTAACAACACGTTCATCATCGGTAACCATGGAAACCACACATGCATCATCGCTAACAACACTCATCATCTGTAACCATGGAAACCACATACTCATCATTGCTAACAACACACTCATCATCGGTAACCATGGAAACCACACAATCATTATCGCTAACAACACACTCATCATCGGTAACCATGGAAACCACACACGCATCATTGCTAACGATACACTCATCATCGGTAACCATGGAAACCACACAATCATTATCGCTAACAACACACTCATCATCGGTAACCATGGAAACCACACACGCATCATCGCTAACGACACACTCATCATCGGTAACCATGGAAACCACACACTCATCATTGGTAACCATGGAAACCACACACTCATCATCGCTAGCAACACACTCATCATTGGTAACCATGGAAACCACACACTCATCATCGGTAACCATGGAAACCACACACTCATCATCGGAAACAACACACTCATCATCGGTAACCATGGAAACAACACACTCATCATCGAAAACAACATCATTATCTGTAAAATAAGCCACTTTAAGTCACTTGTACTAGGGCTAAAAAAAACAGCCTCCTATTGCCACTCTTTCTTTAATTGCAACTTTTTATTGTACATAATTATCTCATGCGTAGACTATATTTTTTTACTTTAACATGTTTCACACTTCTGTCTTTTGCACAAATCTGACTGATTCTGTCTGTGATGTCACATGTACATTTATCAGAGATCAATAAAGTCTGTCTTATCTTATCTGGAAACTACACACAGACTCTGAAACTACACACACACCAGACTCTGAAACTACACACACCAGACTCTGAATGTGATGTCACATGTACATTTATCAGAGATCAATAAAGTCTGTCTTATCTTATCTGGAAACTACACACAGACTCTGAAACTACACACACACCAGACTCTGAAACTACACACACCAGACTCTGAAACTACACACACCAGACTCTGAAACTACACACAGACTCTGAAACTACACACACACCAGACTCTGAAACTACACACACACCAGACTCTGAAACTACACACACACCAGACTCTGAAACTACACACACACCAGACTCTGAAACTACACACACACCAGACTCTGAAACTACACACACACCAGACTCTGAAACTACACACACACCAGACTCTGAAACTACACACACACCAGACTCTGAAACTACACACACACAGACTCTGAAACTACACACACACAACTGAAACTACACACACACCAGACTCTGAAACTACACACACACCAGACTCTGAAACTACACACACACTGAAACTACACACACCAGACTCTGAAACTACACACAACACACTCAGAAACTACACACACCAGACTCTGAAACTACACACAACACACTCAGAAACTACACACACCAGACTCTGAAACTACACACACACCAGACTCTGAAACTACACACACACCAGACTCTGAAACTACACACACACCAGACTCTGAAACTACACACACACCAGACTCTGAAACTACACACACACAGACTCTGAAACTACTACACACACACCAGACTCTGAAACTACACACACACCAGACTCTGAAACTACACACAACAGACTCTGAAACTACACACACACCAGACTCTGAAACTACACACACCAGACTCTGAAACTACACACACCAGACTCTGAAACTACACACACCAGACTCTGAAACTACACACACCAGATTCCGAAACTACACACACACACCAGATTCTGAAACTACACACACACACCAGATTCTGAAACTACACACACACACCAGACTCTGAAACTGCACACACACCAGACTCTGAAACTACACACACCAGACTCTGAAACTACACACACATAATCTGAAACTACACACACCAGACTCTGAAACTACACACAACAGACTCTGAAACTACACACAGACTCTGAAACTACACACAGACTCTGAAACTACACACACACCAGACTCTGAAACTACACACACCAGACTCTGAAACTACACACACCAGACTCTGAAACTACACACACCAGACTCTGAAACCACACACAGACTCTGAAACTACACACAGACTCTGAAACTACACACAGACTCTGAAACTACACACACCAGACTCTGAAACTACACACACACCAGACTCTGAAACTACACACACACCAGACTCTGAAACTACACAGACAGACACACTGAAACTACACAGACAGACACACTGAAACTACACAGACAGACACACTGAAACTACACACACCAGACTCTGAAACTACACACACCAAACTACACACACACCAGACTCTGAAACTACACACACACCAGACTCTGAAACTACACACACACCAGACTCTGAAACTACACACACACCAGACTCTGAAACTACACACACACCAGACTCTGAAACTACACACACACCAGACTCTGAAACTACACACACACCAGACTCTGAAACTACACACACACCAGACTCTGAAACTACACACACACCAGACTCTGAAACTACACACACACCAACTCCGAAACTACACAGACAGACACACTGAAACTACACAGACAGACACACTGAAACTACACACACCAGACTCTGAAACTACACACAACACACTCTGAAACTACACACACACACTCTGAAACTACACACACAGACTCTGAAACTACACACACCAGACTCTGAAACTACACACACCAGACTCTGAAACTACACACACACAGACTCGAAACTACACTCTGAACTACACCACACCAGACTCTGAAACTACACACACACCAGACTCTGAAACTAACTACACACACCAGACTCTGAAACTACACACACCAGACTCTGAAACTACACACACCAGACTCTGAAACTACACACACCAGACTCTGAAACTACACACACACAGACTCTGAAACTACACACACACCAGACTCTGAAACTACACACACACCAGACTCTGAAACTACACACACACACAGACTCTGAAACTACACACACACCAGACTCTGAAACTACACACACACCAGACTCTGAAACTACACACACACCCAGACTCTGAAACTACACACACACCAGACACACTGAAACTACACAGACAGACACACTGAAACTACACAGACAGACACCTGAAACTACACACACCAGACTCTGAAACTACACACACACACTCTGAAACTACACACACACACTCTGAAACTACACACACCAGACTCTGAAACTACACACACCAGACTCTGAAACTACACACACCAGACTCTGAAACTACACACACCAGACTCTGAAACTACACACACCCAGACTCTGAAACTACACACACCACTCTGAAACTACACACACAGACTCTGAAACTACACACACACCAGACTCTGAAACTACACACACACCAGACTCTGAAACTACACACACCAGACTCTGAAACTACACACACCAGACTCTGAAACTACACACACCAGACTCTGAAACTACACACACACCAGATTCTGAAACTACACACACACACCAGATTCTGAAACTACACACACACACCAGACTCTGAAACTGCACACACACCAGACTCTGAAACTACACACACCAGACTCTGAAACTACACACACATAATCTGAAACTACACACACCAGACTCTGAAACTACACACACCAGACTCTGAAACTACACACACCAGACTCTGAAACTACACACACCAGACTCTGAAACTACACACACCAGACTCTGAAACTACACACACATAATCTGAAACTACACACACCAGACTCTGAAACTACACACACCAGACTCTGAAACTACACACACCAGACTCTGAAACTACACACACCAGACTCTGAAACTACACACACACCAGACTCTGAAACTACACACACACACTCTGAAACTACACACACAGACTCTGAAACTACACACACCAGACTCTAAAACTACAGTGTGTAGTAGTATGCAGTAGTGTGTCTCTTTGTGTGTAATTGTGTGACTCAGGTCTTTTGTGTCTAATTGTGTGACTGAGGTCCTTTGTGTGTAATTGTGTGACTGAGGTCCTTTGTGTGTAGTTGTGTGACTGAGGTCCTTTGTGTGTTGTTGTGTGACTGAGGTCTTTTGTGTATAATTGTGTGACTGAGGTCCTTTGTGTGTAATTGTGTGACTGAGGTCCTTTGTGTGTAGTTGTGTGACTGAGGTCCTTTGTGTGTAATTGTGTGACTGAGATCCTTTGTGTGTAGTTGTGTGACTGAGGTCCTTTGCATGTAGTTGTGTGACTGAGGTCCTTTGTGTGTAATTGTGTGACTGAGGTCCTTTGTGTGTAATAGTGTGACGGAGGTCCTCTGTGTGTAATTGTGTGACTGAGGTCCTTTGTGTGTAGTTGTGTGACTGAGGTCCTTTGTGTGTAGTTGTGTGACTGAGGTCCTTTGTGTGTTGTGTGACTGAGGTCTTTTGTGTATAATTGTGTGACTGAGGTCCTTTGTGTGTAATTGTGTGACTGAGGTCCTTTGTGTGTAGTTGTGTGACTGAGGTCCTTTGTGTGTAATTGTGTGACTGAGATCCTTTGTATGTAGTTGTGTGACTGAGGTCCTTTGTGTGTAGTTGTGTGACTGAGGTCCTTTGTGTATAATTGTGTGACTGAGGTCCTTTGTGTGTAATAGTGTGACGGAGGTCCTCTGTGTGTAATTGTGTGACTGAGGTCCTTTGTGTGTAGTTGTGTGACTGAGGTCCTTTGTGTGTAGTTGTGTGACTGAGGTCCTTTGTGTTGTGTCCAGTGACAGTGTTTGAGTTTCTTCCGGAGGAGAAGAAAGCCGCTCGGACTACAGTGCTGGGCCAGGCCGTGCTGGACTGCCTCCCCCTGCTGCAGGGTAACAACAGACGCCACCTTCATGTTGTTATTGTGTTATTACGCTACTATGCTACAGTGATACAGTGTTACAGTCTTAGTGTTACAGTGTTAGTGTTACTGCGTTACAGTGTTACTGCGTTATGGGGCTTTCACACCGCCAACGCTGAAACGCGGAAGCCCCACTCACCAGACGCGCATTCTCTAGTTTTCAGACGCAGAGGACTTCACACCAGAACGTCCTGACGCGAGCCGGAAGTACCGGAAGTAGCCGGCCGGCTCTAATGCTAACAGAGCTATGCTAGCGGCTTCTTGTGTACAGATCTTCTCCAATATGCAGCGTTGCAGCGTGTCTTTGCTCACAGACATTCCACGGGCTTTATACAACAATAGTATGTGTTCACGGAGGTGCGCCATAAGTTTTTTCATATTATTAACGGAATTTCCGCATCGGCGAACACACTCGAAGCAGTTGCATAAGGTCACGGGAGCATGATAAATCATATTTTCACAAGCACAGAGTCCCCCATTGTCAACCCTGGTTTGCGTTCTGGTGAAGCCTGGTGTGGGTCCTGTTTTGGCTGTTTATGAGTATTTTCAGTCTGCTCGCTCAGTCCGCTAATGTCCCCGTGACCACTTTGCTGCTCTCTGATTGGTTGTCGCACGAACGTCCCAAGGAAAGGATGAGCAGAATCCATCTCCTGTGGGCGTCGATTTTTCGCTCGTACTCCTAACACTGTAATGGTGCTTTCAGACCGGATCATGCGTTGCGTCGGGTTTCAATGCAAAGTCTATGGTGGCGCGCGTTCGGCCGTCACAACGCACGGACCTCTCGGCACGCACGGACTGTTCAATAATGACGCACAGACTTGGCGGGAAAGTGAAAAGGGAGTGTTACGGTGTTACAGTGTTAGTGTTACGGTGTTACAGTGTTAGTGTTACGGCGTTACAGTGTTAGTGTTACAGTGTTAGTGTTACGGCGTTTTTGTGTTTTAGTGTTACAGTGTTAGTGTTACAGTGTTAGTGTTACAGTGTTTCAGTGTTACAGTGTTTCAGTGTTACGGTGTTACAGTGTTGGTGTTACAGTATTACAGGGTTAGTGTTACAGTGTTAGTGTTACAGTGTTACGGTGTTACAGTGTTAGTGTTACAGTGTTGGTGTTATAGTATTACAGTGTTAGTGTTACAGTGTTTCAGTGTTAGTGTTACGGTGTTACAGTGTTAGTGTTACAGTGTTACGGCGTTACAGTGTTAGTGTTACAGTGTTAGTGTTACAGTGTTACCTTGTTAGTGTTAGTGTTACGGCGTTAGTATTAGTGTTACAGTGTCACAGTGTTTTAGTGTTAGTGTGTTACAGTGTTAGTGTTACAGTGTTACAGCGTTACAGTGTTTAGGGGCGTTCACACCGGACTTAACTTCGGCGTCAAAAGCGTCAAGTTTCCATTGAAAGTGAATGGTGAAGCGCGTCAGGTGAAGCCGAGAGCCCCGGCGTCACTTGACGCGCGTCAAAAGCTTCAAGAGTCGCGCGTATTACGCGCTCACTTGAAGCTTTTGATGCGCGAAACGCTCGCGTATCAAAACAATCCCTCTGACGCCGAAGTTGAGCAAAGCTGAGCTTTTGAAGCTTTGACGCGGGCTTCAACCAATCAGGAGACGAGCAGCAGCAGCAGCAGAGGGTCTGTCTCTGTCATGAAGAGAAGTCATGCTGCTGCTGCTGCTGTTTTATTGTCATTATTGTTATTAGTAATATTATTTGTATGAGTAGTAAAACTCTGAGTAACAAAAATCATTGTACACATGCTGTGTAGTAAACGTAGTTTATTTAATATAAGAACAGGCTGACGATGAGTCTGGCTCAGAGCAAGGCAGCTCCGGGCGGACGAGAGCCGGCGAGAGGCGAGCGAGAGCCGGGGAGAGGCGAGAGCCGGGGAGAGGCAGGGAGAGGCGAGAGCGAGACGGGGAGAGGCAGGGGGAGAGGCGAGAGCGAGACGGGGAGAGGCGAGCTCCGGGGTTTGAGAACTCAGACTGGGCAAGTGACATGCGGAAGTACCGCTGAAAGCGAAACTCCTCCGTACGCAGCTCCTGGAGTAAATGACGGAACTCTGCAAACACTGCAGCCTCTCAAGTCTGTGGTGAACCCAGAACATGTTTTGTTGAAGCCCTACAACAACGTTATTTTGCTTTATATAACAAATAAAGGCTCGCTGCTAATTGAAAAATCCACCGCTGTCCTGACTACAGACAACAGAGAAGCTCCTCCCACAGAGAACTGAGAAGCTCCTCCCACCGGCGGCAGGCGCGTCAAAAGCTTCAAGCACCAAAATGACAAAACTATCCCGGCGTCAGTTGAAGCGTGTCAAAAGCTTTTTGAAGCTTTTGGTCTGAACGCGCCTTTAGTGTTACAGTGTTAGTGTTACATTGTTGCAGTTACATTGTTGCTGTGTTACAGTGTTACTGTGTTACAGTGTTGCAGTGTTACAGTGTTAGTGTTACAGTGTTTCAGTGTTAGTCTTACAGTGTTGCGGTGTTAGTGTTACAGTGTTTCAGTGTTAGTGTTACGGTGTTACAGTATTACAGTGTTAGTGTTACAGTGTTAGTGTTACAGTGTTACGGTGTTAGTGTTACAGTGTTAGTCTTACAGTGTTGGTGTTACAGTATTACAGTGTTAGTGTTACTGTGTTAGTGTTACAGTGTTAGTGTTACAGTGTTTCAGTGTTAGTGTTACGGTGTTACAGTGTTAGTGTTACAGTGTTAGTATTACAGTGTTACGGCGTTACAATGTTAGTGTTACAGTGTTAGTATTACAGTGTTACGGTGTTAGTGTTACGGTGTTAGTGTTACGTGTTAGTGTTACAGTGTTACGGCGTTACAGTGTTAGTGTTACAGTGTTAGTGTTACGGCGTTACAGTGTTAGTGTCACAGTGTTACAGTGTTAGTGTTACAGTGTTACTGCGTTTTAGTGTTACAGTGTTTGTGTTACAGTGTTAGTGTTACAGTGTTAGTGTTACGGCGGTACAGTGTTACGGTGTTAGTGTTACATTGTTACGGTGTTTTAGTGTTACTGCGTTACAGTGTTAGTGTTACTGTTACAGTGTTACGGTGCTACGGCGTTACAGTGTTAGTGTTACAGTGTTACGGCGTTAGTGTTACAGTGTTATTGTTACAGTGTTAGTGCTACAGTGTTACAGTGTTAGTGTTACAGTGTCAGAGTTATTGTTACAGTGTTAGTGTTACCTAGTTAGTGTTACAGTGTCACAATGTTATTGTTACAGTGTTAGTGTTACGGCGTTACAGTGTTAGTTTTACAGTGTTAGTTTTACAGTGTTACGGCGTTACAGTGTTAGTGTTACAGTGTTACGGCGTTACAGTGCTAGTGTTACAGTGTTAGTGTTACAGTGTTAATGTTACAGTGTTAGTGTTACAGTGTTAATGTTACAGTGTTAGTGTTACAGTGTTAATGTTACCGTGTTAGTGTTACAGTGTTAATGTTACAGTGTTACAGTGTTAGTGTTACAGTGTTAATGTTACAGTGTTAGTGTTACAGTGTTAATGTTACAGTGTTAGTGTTACCGTGTTAGTGTTACAGTGTTAATGTTACAGTGTTACAGTGTTAGTGTTACAGTGTTAGGTTTACAGTGTTACAGTGTTAGGTTTACAGTGTTAGTGTTACAGTGTTAGTGTTACAGCGTTACAGTGTTAGTGTTACAGTGTTAGTGTTACAGCGTTAATGTTACAGTGTCAGTGTTACAGTGTTAGTGTTACAGTGTTAGTGTTACGGCGTTACAGTGTTAGTGTTTGTAAGGTAGGAAAAATGTATGTGGAGTGGCTAGTCTCCAGCTCGGAGTCTTGCCGTTCCTTAAAGAGGGATCTGAATTAATATTTAAGGGCACCAGTAGAATTTGAAACATCTACAACAGATCCAGTACTAATCTGCCTCGATCAGTCTCACAATCTGATAGATCTCGAGTTCGAAATCAGCCAGGGATATCAAAAGATTTATAAAAAGGACACTTGACGATGACTACGTTTATCGTGGGTTTATTGACTACGTACGAAATAGGAAAAATCAACGAGGAGGTGTTTGGTCACATTAAACAGAGATGTTAAACATATCACGTGAATCACACATTAACGTGGCAATTGGAACAGTCTTACTTTGACGTAGTCCGTATTGAAGGATTGAAGAATAGGGAAAGGGGGGGGTCCACACGTGTTCCTTTGTTCGAGCAGGAGAGACGAAGGCCAGCCAGCAGATCGCAGCGAAACTTGAAATCCACACAAACACACGCCGTCTAGAATAACGCCCGTATGTGCAGAAGTCCAGTCCAGAAGCCGGAAAGTGGCTTGTTGATGAGAGTTCGTCGTCTCCGACAGCGAGTGTCAGCAGCTGTCCTTGTGGAGGTAGAGGCCCAAAGTTGATACGGCCAAGAGGTCGCGTTGGAGACGCGTACCTTGTAGTTAGGTTCATTAAAAATGCCAAGAGGTCGTTTTGCGACTTGCGTGTGCTTTTTGTTCCAGTTCAGAAGGGGCGTGTCTATGACGTCATCTTTGTGCGTCTCCCTGGACATCTTTCGCGACAGACATGGTTATAACGACATATGCATCACTGACACCGACGTTTATAACACATATACAGACACAGCGCATTTACATTACAGACAATGGTACACACGTGTAGAGCACAGTAAATGTTATCAGAATAATGACTTCAAGGAGGGGTGGTTTCGACTGTCCATCTCGGTTGTGCTAGCATCCCGTGTCCACTGGGGGGCGTCAGAACGCCGTTGGTGGATCGCCAGCCTGCCTGGGAGGAATGTCTCAGGCCTTATCGGAGATTATACAGACCCAATTTGATCTTTGATCTCGCCGGAGGGAGGCAAAAATGCTTGTTTCTGGGGCCGATCATTGTCCAGGTTTGAAGGTTGGTATCTTTGTGATTCATGATGATACTCTGTTCGACCTCTGCTGTCTCAGATGTCTCGCTTTGGGGCGGACATTCCTAAGTCTCGTGTTTTTCTTATCT